CAAAAGTCTTCCTCCTGCTCATCATCGTCATTGTCATGGTACGGCCGAGTGATTTATGGACTAAGCTTTGTCATTTGGCAAGCGGCAAAAGAAAGTGGTAGGGGTGTGGGAGGGGGGTGGAGGGTCAGCAGGGTGTGTTTCCTCAGGCTCATTGATAATGACATACCTGCACGGCCTGTCCGTTAGCCCGATAGCACAAACTACTTAGGCTCTAACTGGAAAATCAATAGCCTGTTCGCTTGGAGACCATGCTTCTTTGTGATTGGCAGCCGCAGGCTGGGTTGGAGGAGGGGGGGGGGGCGGTGTCATGAAGGGTAGCGGTCCCTCTTTTGGGTAACGATCGGCTTGCTCTTTTCCCGAAACACTCGGCTGATTTTCTCCGAGCGAGCGAGCATCAATCCAGACGGCGCGGCTTACCCCGGGTAGCCGTCACCGCCCCGCTAATTAGGCTTAGCAATGTCTTCTCAATGGGGGGGGGTTGTCACTGGATGCTGACCTTCAAGGAAGCGTACAGCAACACTTTGAAATAAACGGTTTGGTGTAGAACAAAAATCTATGTTTGTCATCATATTTGGAATCAACACTTTGGAACACCAAGAATTCTCTCTGTAGTTTCCTTTCTTGCAGTTACTTGGAAAATGTGCCTTTTTTTGTTGCAATTTAATGAAGTGCAACAAATGTGTGATTCGTTTTAATGTGAAATGCTTTGATGGGTTATTTTCACTCTCACTTTTTTTTGGGGGGGGGGTGGGGTGAGTCACACCCTGTTCACTCCTGAAGAGGACTTCTGAAGGAATTGCTAGTTTGCCATTTGGAAACTTCATGGCTCAATTGGGTGACAGAATCTGTCGCACTAACGCCCCCTCCCCTCTCCCCTCAATCAACTTTACATCATACGGTTTCTTGACAAAACGCAACGACGGCCGTCCTCACTTCCTCAGTCAGTCAGTATTAGAAGCCTCTAAAAGAGGCTCTGCAACAACACATGCAATATTGATGCCTTGCGTTGAAACACAGAGAGTGCTGCTGCTGCGCACACGAGCGCGCGCGCACACACACACACACACACACACACACACACACACACACACACACACACGAGCATCTATCTACCGAGCAGATGCTTCGCCCCGTCCGCCAATTAGTCGCCTGCGATGATTTTTCTCCTTTGCAGTGAGCAGCTGCCGTGAGAGAACGCACATCCCGAACACACTTGAGGTCGGGGATGTCTGTTTACACGTCTGATGCGTTTGTATTCGTTGCTCATGGGGGTGGGAAGGGCGGGTGGTGTTTGCCCCCCTCCGCCCCCCCCATAATTGCAGCCATAACACGATGCTGAGTAGATGATATCTTGTGTATGTTTTGGGAACAAATCTGGCCTTGGAGGAGGTTCTCGTCATCGTAAGTGTATACACAGTAGCTTGACGACCAAATATTTAAAAAAGGCAAAATTTTTTGCTGTGTTTCTGCCAAGATATTTATTCTTATCAGGCAGTTTCATATGTATGAGCATTTCACTTGCTTCAAGCATTTTTTCCACCTTTCAAAAGTATTAAATCTTACTGTTGACATTGTCTTTGTGGTTATTATTAAGCTTAGCATCAAAGAAGAAATACCATAATTCTACATAGGTGGGACACTGTTAGTTTGAAAGAGGAAGAGTGAAAACGAAGTTCGTAAAGCCAAGCCTTGTTTATGCTGAAGAGAAATGACAGTCAAATTCTCTTTGGTCCTGCTTTGTACACCTACAGAAAGCAACGGCTGTCAGTTCATTTCAGAAAGTCCATCTTCGGACACGATTTATCGACATTATGTTGTGAGCTGATACGCTAAGTTTGTTAGTTTGGAAAAAACTAAATATGTTTACTGTGTGCTTAAAGACCTTTAAAAACATTGGTATACATGCAACATACTAAGATCACAAACGTCAAGTCTTGTCGTGGGGGTGGTCTGGAATTTCACCCCAGCAATATAGGGCGGGATTATTATTTTTGAAAAGCTAGTTTTTAAACGGCTTTCATTTGTCTCAACCTTAATATTTCTTTTATTGTTTTTGACAGGGCCGCCCCGAGCAGATGTGGGCTAAACATCGCACGGCAGACTGTGGATCTCATACGTAGCATCTGGACTAGCGCAAGGGGCGGACGGTGGACCAGAACAGATCCGTTATGTCTTTATAGAAGCCCCCCGGCTTTGTATCACCATATATTACGCTAAGCTATGGCTAGCATGTCCTTCATAATATTTGGACACTTCCTCTCTACCCCGTGCCGATTTATTCCTACAGAGCTCCGTGCGAGATAATAAACAGTCGCACACCCATGCGATCTGCCGGCCCCAGAGTATTCCTCCTCTTTACGGTCCAACCCCACATTAGGACATTGAGCCGCTACTCACAACAACAAAAATGGGAGTTTAAAATCCTCACCACGAGACGTTGGAAAATCTCGAGAGACATGAGCTTGTAGAGTGTCTAAATACTTAATTGCATGTTTGGCTTTTTCTTTGTCTTCTTTTGTGGTCTCAGTCATAAAAACATAAAATGTGATGCTGGCCATGGAACTGGAAAGGGAGCTTTCTGCATTCCAAAGACTACGATATGAGCAATATGGTATACTTCAGGTATGATGAGTCAACGTATTCTGATTATGTTTACATGGAAAACAACCAATGACCACGAGAAGAAAAAAATCTATTCCCTGTTCTTTCTCCACAACAGCCGTAGTGTTCAAAGAGCGAGTTTTACTTTATCTTAGTTTTCCCAACACAGCGGTTAACATATTTTTAGATTTGCATGACAGTTAAAAACTTCCATCCAACCATCCACTGTCTGTACTGCTTATCGTCAAAAGGCTCGCAGGTGTGCTCGAGCCGATCCCAGCTGACTGAGTAAGAGATGGGGTACCCCCCGCCCCTCCAGTCACAGGGCACATATAGACAAACAACAATTCACGCTCATATGCACGCCCATAGATATAAAAAAAATATATACAACTACAACTACAGCGATGTTATCAATAATACGAATATTTTTACTCAGCCATTTTTACTATGCATTTAATCCACCACATTGCCAATCATGGTCTCACTCATCACTGCAAATCTCGTCAAGGATGGTCTTTCAATGCTTTCAGCATTATGGCATTATATAAAAAAAAAAAAATTATAATAAAAATCATGATGAAGTCCAGAGTGTGCGTAGCAAAGGAGAGTTAATTAATCTTTGCCTTTTTTCTGACAGCTCAGCTCTCACAGCTGGCCACTCGCTCGCTATCCTCCCAATGCTCAATGCTTCATGCAGGCGCTATTCTTAGATCTGGCCACCAAATGCAGTCGGCATTGTCAGAAAATAAGTGCGCGAAAATAAAGAAAACATACTGTATATTCTCCCCCCCACCACCCCCTCGGCTGCGATCGTCAGCGCTGTAGGCTGTGAAATCTCATAATGACATTTTCCACATGGCAATAACAGCAGGGGCAGCAGCTGGCTCTTGACCTATATTTAATATTTCAATCAGAATAATTGTGTGTTTTTCGTCAAAAAATGTCGGACGCGAGTGCCGGTGACTGACTTCTCGTTGAGGTAGCGCCACTGTGTTCTTATTAATACGTGATAAAGAGCCAGGAGTCGGACCCCGGTGGGGAAAGATTGTGGTTGACTACAGTCATATAGAACTCCTTGGATGTGGCTGCTCGATGTCTTCATGTACGTGTGTGGGCGTGTGCCGTCACATCATCTGCACACGGCATATGTATGCGTGTGCATTTCCTGAGTGCAACAACATGAGGTCCTGTTGCAAAGTCGTAAAAAAGTTGCACGGTTGCAACTTGTGCAGAGACCACATTTGAAATGTAGAAATAAAAATCGTTGGTCAAAGTAAATATGTAGAATTCCATTTAGGGCGTTTTTTTTTTTTTTTTTGCCAGATTAGCAGATGCACATTTACATGTAATTTAAATGTCATGGAAATAATATTTTAACAATGAAACAAGGTATAAAAATTTCTAAAAGCATTTCATATAACACTACATGAAAGCACACCTATGCATCTATCAATGCATCACTGACAATTATCGAAAGTACGATGAGCATTTATTCATAATTATCACTTGTACGCAAGTGTGACATTCTATGCTTATTCAAAAAAAAAAAAGGTGACCAGACAACATGTTCCTTACATATATTAAATATATAAATGTGGTGCTGTTGTCTTAATTACGAATAAATGTTTTTCCTCTTGTACACATTCACAACCATTCTAAATACCCTTGTCCACAGAATGTCCCCATTGATACACAGGCTCCCTCTAGTGGTACGTAAAAAAAATTCTCGAAATCGAATTATCTTCCAAAAATATGAAATACAATCAAACATACTACGATTAAGCTTGTAGCGATGCAAAAAGTCTGTTCAAGATGTGATTAATCCAGTGCAGCACTTTTTTTTTACTTGAGTACAGTTCACTTGTCTTTAACTTTGAAAATATGTTTAACCCCTTTTTTGTTTACTTTATACGCATGCAGTTCGGTTCCATTAAACTTTGAAGTACATTACATCTGGCTTCAATGTTTTAGAATGGCTTGTTTTTTGAAAAAAAAAAAAAAAAAACCAGATCCAATCAGTTTGCTATTTCCACTTTATGTACATTTAAACTATCTTGAAGCAGTTGCCCCCTGGTATTTTTTTATTATTTACGTTTTAGAAAATAAACCTCAACCTCGTTTTTGTTGAGCACCTGGACCTTCTATATGCTACTTTATTTTAGTGTTACTCATTATAGTGGTGCTTGGATAGCAAAATATTTTAAGTGGTACGTGGGATAAAATGTTTGAGAACCACTGACTGCTACGTACCAATTTTTTTAAATGCCAATATTTTAATAAAAGGCAAACAAATGTGCATTCTTGCTGTTATTTAAAGCTGTAGCAAAATTAGACACTGACTAAAATATTTGAAAAGGTCTTTTAAATATTAGCGGGTGTACTGTATTAAAAAAAAGGGTCACTACCCCCCCAATGCACCGAAGTGGATATGACGGTCAAGGTGCTCGCGTGGACTACTCGCGTTATGTTGCGTGTACGTGTGTCTCTCTCTCTCTTTCTCTCTCACGCACGCACACACACACACGCACGCACGCGCTCTCTCGCTTGCTTGCTTTCTTTCTCTCTCTCTTTTTCTGTCGCTCGCCCCCTCCAGCCGCCTCGGCCGTCGCTGATTGGCTGCGCGGGGGCCGGGCAGCCTTCACTCCTGCTCGAGGAGCAAGCCGGGGCTCCTTCACTCTTGCTCCAAAGAGCCATTCATAAAAGTGCGGCTTGAAGGACGAGCAGGACCATGAGCGAGCCGCAGCGCCCAAGTCGGACTTTGTAGATCCGAGAAGCGGGAGTAAGAACTTTTTGGTTGTTGCTGTTGTTTGGAGCTGCGTTTTGAGTTCCCCCCGTCCCCTTCTCCCACCCCACCGGTTAGCGTTGGATCCGTCGGCCTACTGCGACTCCCCGGCGTACGGCCCGGACCTGTGCCCCAACATGATCGCCACGCAGGCCAAGCTGGTGTACCAGCTCAACAAGTACCACGGCGAGCGGTGCCAAGCGCGCAAGGCCGCCATTGCCAAGACCATCCGCGAGGTGTGCAAGGTGGTGTCGGACGTGCTGAAGGAGGTGGAGGTGCAGGAGCCGCGCTTCATCAGCTCGCTGAGCGAGATCGACGCGCGCTACGAGGGCATGGAGGTCACGTCGCCCAACGAGTTCGAGGTGGTGCTCTACCTCAACCAGATGGGCGTGTTCAACTTCGTGGACGACGGTTCGCTGCCCGCTGGCTCGTGCAGACGCGTGTGGCGCAGGCGGTGGACAAGTGCAGCTACCGCGACGTGGTCAAGATGGTGGCGGACACCAGCGAGGTGCGGCTGCGCATCCGCGAGCGCTACGTGGTGCAGATCACGCCGGCCTTCAAGTGCACGGGCATCTGGCCGCGCAGCGCGGCGCAGTGGCCGGCGGCCCACATCCCCTGGCCGGGGCCCAACCGCGTAGCCGAGGTCAAGGCGGAGGGCTTTAACCTGCTCTCCAAGGAGTGCTACTCGCTCACCGGCAAGCAGAGCTCGGCCGAGAGCGACGCCTGGGTGCTGCAGTTCAGCGAGGCCGAGAACCGGCTGCTCATGTCCGGCTGCCGCAAGAAGTGCCTGTCGGTGCTCAAGACGCTGCGCGACCGCCACCTGGAGCTGCCCGGCCAGCCGCTGAACAGCTACCACATGAAGACGCTGCTGCTGTACGAGTGCGAGAAGCACCCGCGCGAAGCCGACTGGGACGAAGCGTGCCTGGGCGACCGGCTCAACGGCATCCTGCTGCAGCTCATCTCCTGCCTGCAGTGCCGCCGATGCCCGCACTACTTTCTTCCCAACCTGGACCTCTTTCAGGGCAAGCCGCACTCGGCCCTGGAGGCGGCCGCCAAGCAGACGTGGAGGCTGGCCAGGGAGATCCTCACCAACGCCAAGAGCTTGGACAAGTTATAAGAAAGAAAAAAAAAAAAACACGCAAACTCCCGGCTCGTACTTTTTGTTTTCTTTTTCTTTTTTTTTTTTTTTTGCGAGTTGACTGAGGTTAAAAAAAGTGACATCGTTTGGGGGCTTTGGAGCAGAAGCAGGAAAAAGACACGAAGGTACATTTGTTCTCCTTTTTAAATGTTCTCACCAAGTGAAGAAGAAGGAACTTTTATTTAAAAATGCAATGAAAGCAACGTGCCAACTGGTTTTCTTTTGAGGGGGGGGGGCAAAAATGTTAATAAAATGTTGGAAGTTTAAATCGTAGGCCCCGTGGCGTCATTTAAATATATTTTTTCTCTTTTTGGGGGGCAGAAAAAGATTAAAAGCATTTAAATGATTTTTTTTCCTGGCCCATTTTACTGTAACTAAATGCACGAAAATGAAACATCTAAATGAAATGTAGAATATACTTCAAAAGATACTCCCGATTTGCAGACGTTTTAAAATCATCCCACTGCTTTCATTTCTATGCCACGTGTGAACAGCGTTTATACAAATCGATGACTTTTTCTTACCCTCGCGACGTCCTCACGTTCAGAATTTCGAATATGCGAGTGTAGCCCCCAAAACACATTTTAATGCACTCGACTGCATTTAGTGGAAGGAAAAGGGCCACCTGTAACTTCACAAAAGTGGCATCAAATGTAGATTTTCATATTCAAGATGTCATTTTTATTAATTTAATGTTCATTGTTTTTTTTTCAATCAGCTCCGGCACTACTTTTTTTGTTTGGTTTTTTTTGCTTTATACTTTTACCACAAAATAACCCAAATCTGCAGTGACATTTAACGTGAATGAAAATATTCCCTTTAATTTATATTGGATATAACACGTCCTCTGTGGGCCCGCAACTCGTTTTGCTTCTGAAGACAAACGCTTGCATGAAAAAAGAAAGCCTTTTAAGTGACTTGCGTGTGTGCGTGCGTGGCTTACCTTTGGCTCGATGGCCTTGAAGGCCGGCTCGTCCTCGTCCACCTCGAAGTAGAGCTCGGAGGCGGTGATGGATAGCGTGCCTCGCACCACCGCCGCCGGAGCAACCAGCTGGGCCGTCGTGCTCACGTTGACCGGGCCTGCATGCATGCATGCATGGTGCACGTGCACGCGTGCAAAATCAGGAGGGGGCAAGGCGCAAAAAAAAAAAAAAAAAAAAAAAAGACGCAGTACGTTAAAAACAACAAGGACGTATCGTAGAAATAAACGTCTCGGCTAATTAATCCTGCGAGAGCGAGAAGGGAATTACAAAAATCAAAGGAGAGAAACGACGCACCACATATTAAAAATGCAGCTGAGAACCTGAAATGCTCCAAAATGTTCTGCATGTAAAAGGAGGCTCTTTGCGTTTTTTTTTGTTTTTTGTAATTTCGTAGCGACTTTTCAATCCATTTTCGTCGTACAAATGTATTGTTAAAACACACACACACACACACACACACACACACACACACACACACACACTATGAATTTACATAAATACATAATCACTCAAACCAAGGGGAAAATCTTAAAAAAAAAAAAAAGGTCAACATAATCCCACTGAACATTATTTTAATAGAGCCCTGCACTGTATAAAAGGATTACATCATCCAATCCGATTACCAGATGATAATATTTGATTAGCAGTAAATTGCGTAAAATTGGGTTTTTGGTCAACTAAAAACCCATATCTGTAGTGTAAATCTATTAGTGTTACTTAAAGCGCGGGCGGGTGTGGGGGTGTGTGTGTGTGTGTGTGTGTGTGTGTGTGTGTGTGTGTGTGTGTGTGTGTGTGTGTGTGTGTGCACTCATATAAGCACACTTGCATCATCTCAAATGAGACCAAAAAATGTGCATCCTCCCCCCCAATTTATTTTTTTTGTATCAACTTAATGTTTGAATTAATCTTTGGTAGCATATCCCAAGTTCCTGTCTCATATTTGTCGTCTGTCGTGCAGCTAGCCTCAAGGATTTCAAATACAATTGTTTTCAGTTAGTGGCTCCATGACAGGGTCAAAATATTAGGAACAGCTCTTGGCTCAACCGCAATACAAATATGCACGGTTGAAGTGGAAATGTTTGGAGTCGACAACCAACGGAGCCATACTGGGCACCCTCCAGTTTCTTTTATACCACTGTGGGGGTTTGTAATATTTTGGTGCTCTTATTGAGTGACACGGGGACAGTCAAAACATTAGGAACAGCTCTCCTGATAAATCAACTCGATATGCGTGATGGTAAAGAACCACTCTGTAACTCCAATTGACAGCCTCCATTTCTTGATATGATCTTCTGTATGAGCTTGTGAGAACATTCGAAACACTTGTCATGAACACTGTAAAAAAATAACGTAATTTTTTTGGGTGGTGGCGGTAACTTAGTTTTGAACAACTTTGAAATATAAATTATTAACATTTATGTCATCAATGTTAGCTTGACAAAACAAGCTAGTCGTTTGCCCCATGACAACTTGTTTTTGTCTGTACTTTTATCTTTAAGTTGGGGGACAAGACAAGGTACAATTAGCTCTCTCAACTCTTTTTTTTTCCCCTTTGGTGATAATGAGGGAAAGGCAATTATCAGATTGTCATATATCAAATATTCTGTTGAAGTGCCCAACTTAAAATGTCGTCCAGGTGTGTGGCCTTAAAATTTTGAGTTCACCCAACTTTTTTTTTTTTTTACAGTGTTATAACCCCTCCCGGCACCATCCAAGTTTTTTATGGCATGCTGTTTAGGTTTTTAATATTTTTGGTATCTTACCAAACAGCTACACGAGAGGGACAAAATATTAGGGACATCTCTCATAATAAAACGTTGAACTGGGAAGCACTGTGGTAGACAACCAGTACCCAACCCAGCTGAAACACCCCCATTTTTTTAAATAGTTTTGCTGGGAACATTTAGACAAGAGGGTCAAAATATTAGGAACAACTCTCAGCTTGAGAGTAATGAACAATTCAGGCTGATGTTAAGAAAACAACCACATAACCCCAACTGGGCACTCCCCAATTATTATTTTTGTTGTTGTTGTTTTTTTTCATACCGGTAAAGTTTTCAAGCTCTTTTTCCTCCAAAGACGACAACGTGTCGTCGTCGGCATCCAGCGAGGCGTCGCTCTCAGAGTTCTGGTGCGCCACAGCCTGAGTCTTGATGGACTGTTTGCCTTTCAACACGTCGTCTTCGGTCACTGCACGACAACAAGAAGAAATCCAGGAATGCGGCATGCTTCAGCACAGTGCTCCTCAAACGTTTGACAGCACCTTCAAAAATATGAAGCTCTTCAAGTGCCACCATAATGGCCAACATGAAAATATCAATACCATGGTGGAAGTTTTATTTCCAAAAAGTCAAAGTGAGGTTAAGTACAGTTTGAACATGAACACTAGGCGTAAAAAAAAGCCTGCTTAGCGATTCAAATGAAATAAATTACAAATATAGAAATTGTTTTGAAACAGTTGCTAAAGACTACACGCAAATGCACACCCTTAAAAAAGCTGGGTCCAAAATAACCCAATGTCGGTCAGAAAGTGGACCAAACCGCTACTTGGGTCAAATCGACCCAAGTAGTGGGTTGGTCCATTATTATTGTTTTTTTTTTTTTTTAACCAAAACTGGGCTATTTTTGACCCAGTTTTAAGTATGTACTGTACTGTACTTAAAAGTTAAATACAACTGAACTGTGCAAACAAACAAATAAATAAATAAGAATATAAAAAGGGGGCACTGTGGATTTTTAAAGAGTGAATTAATGTTTCACTCTAATTCATTATGCTTTATATGTTATGAATTTTATTTGTATTTAAATCGGTGATTCTTTCACGTACCACTAGCGGTCCTCAGAACACACTTCAAGAATCACTGGTTTTTGTACAGGAAAGGCAAACTGTGCCGGACCAGGGAATAACAGTATATTCTCAATTTTACTCGCATCAGACAATTTAATTAAATCATCAATAAAACTTTTTTTTTTTTTAATAAAACATGCAAGAACCCTCTTTAGATTGTTGTTTAGCATACAGGAGGTGCAGTTTCATTCCCTCTTGTTGTACATGCTGGTCAACGAGAGAGGAGTGAGACTGAAGTCTGAAGGCGCTGGGGTGCTGAAATTGTAATCTGGCGATCACAGCGTGCATGATGTCACTCACGTTTGCAAACAGCTGAGTTTGAAAGTAAAGAGCTGTAGTTTCTTTAACAGCCAATAGTTGAGCAAGTCACGCAAATGGTTCAATTATCTTGTCCCATTTCTTCGCTTCACGTGACTTAATTTTTCATGTCGGCTTCACTTTTGGCGCCGAAGCACCTTGCGGTTGGAGCATCGTAGACAAGCAGTGAAAAGTTCAACAGCAACGATAATCTCTGCTCAGAGAAAAGAGAAAAAAAAAAAAATGAAGCCGTTGTAAACATGTTGCCGGTGAAGGTGCAACAACACGCGGAGACCCTCCGCTACTGAATGGCACGGCCAAAAACGGCCATAAATAGCCCATGACGGGTTAGCACAACGCACAATGAACATTAAATGACGCAAAAGGTGGAAAGGTAGAAATTCACGAGAAAATTAGCAGAGCTGCTTTGACAGGCTGCCAGCTCACAGACGTCTCATTTCCTGTCGGATATAATGGGACTGTTAACTTCACATATCTGGCATTAAAAGGTAAACATTGTCGAAGGACTTCGGTAAATGTCTCAAGTGCTTCGTTGTCTCCGTGTTCAACAATTTTAATACTAAAATCAACTCCATGACGTGTTATATAGAAAATAGAAAGTGAATGAAAAGTAAAGAACTCCTTGAGATTTTAACTAAAATAAATAAATACAAAATGCAATATAAAACATCATACGAATTCAAATTAATGATAAAAATAAGTCAAAATCAAATAAAAACACTACTAGTATCAAGAAATTGAAGACAATAAGAAAAAAACATACAACCAAAATCAATAAAAATATAATTTAAATAGTTTAAAATTTAACAAAGGAAGGTTCATGTTTATCTCCCGACACCCACCGTTCATTTGGGAAATAAATAAATAAATAAAATAACCCATGACATTAAGCAGCCTTTTCCCAAACTTAGGTTAAGAGTTTATTGTTGTTTACGTACGACAAAGCATGTCAAATAATTTATCATGGTTTGATCTGCTTGTTTCCAAGGCATTAACACAAAGGGAGGGAGCACATCACCAGTGAAAAAAAAAGCAGCCAGTGATGGCACAAAACCTTCAGGCTTTTGATAGAATGCAAAACAAAAACATTAGGAAAAGCTCATGAGAACAGCTGAAGTT